GATTTAGGCCGAACTGAAAAATAATAATAGCAAAGTCTCTCTGAATTAGGGTTTCTTTTTTACTTGGCCATGACACAGAAGGAAGGTTTGGCCTTAATTGGTGAACACGAAGCTTGATTTGATCATTCATATAGCTTCTTTTTATTTATTTTCCTGTTTTCTTTCCTTCTAGATGAGATCCCCTATGGTGAATTGTAATTAAATCTTTGTTTGATTTTTCAGTGTACAACAATCAATCCTCGATATGAGAAATATCATAAAGAATAGGAGAAATACCAAAAAGAATATGAGAACCATCAGCGACTTGCCCGACGATTTATTGGCAAAGATATTGTCATTGCTTCGGACAAAAGAGGCCGTTGCGACGCGTGTTTTGTCAAAACGATGGTGCTGTCTATGGAATCAGAATGATGTTGATTGTGTAGAGCTTTGTGATAAATGCTCTTTTCTCTTGCGAATTTATACATTTGCATATTTCCCGACCTCGTATCGAAAACTAGACAAGAAGCTTGGAGGAACTGTAATGGTTAGAAAACCTTACTCTCAGCTGGAGAAACCTGGTTTTGATGGTTTGATGTCGTGTATCAAAGCTGAAGCATGTATCGAGTGCAAAGGAAGAATACATGCAGATAAAAAAGTGAACATTATCATCTTATGCGATGATAAAAAGAGAGACGCTCATATATGGACCAAGTTGGAAGAAAAACAAGAGATGCAGATCGAGTTAGACTTCAAGGGGACTACGTTAATCTGTTGCCTCTCACTTACCTGAGTTTTGTGGTTTGTTCTCAACTTTGTTTCTGATATAATTTTCTTGTCACTATTCAAATCTGCGAGTAATAGGTTTGTGTATTACTGTATTTGCAAACGTTTACTCTCTTTTTTTTTTTTTGGTTTTAATGTTACGTTTACTCTCTTTCTTGTCTCTTTTTTTTATGGATTCAAACATTACTTATTTATTTTCATGTGGTAGACAAGCTCTCTTCTTTTTTACCTTCAAGGCTTCAACGAATCTCATATTTAACCTTTAATATCACACATTCTAGCGCGGGTTCAAATATTTCATGAAATATAAAACTTTTAAAAATAATCTAGAAAATATTGTTATTTTCTTAACATTTTATTACGGCAGTTGATTTTACTAATTGTTTCAAATATAAAATTCATAAACACATTTTGGTTTTCTTTGTGTAATATATAATTTTGGTTAAACAAATTCATATTATCATTACTAATAAAATCATGTATAGTCTTG